TAAAATATTACAAAAAACAAAATTCCTGTTCAGAAAAGAACACCACCCTTTGAAAAGGTGCCATCTCTCTCTCAGAGATAACCATAGTTTTAACAACTGTTTTATTGCCATGTTTTGCAATGTTATGGCAATCTAACAATATTTGAGGTATATTTTTAAAAGTCTGCTTACTGGGATTGGGTGTTACGTTGGAATTTCAGTGCTTATTAAAGAAACAAGTACTTCAGCCCTTAAAATTCCTGGAATCCGATAACTTGCAAATTGTATTGTGAGATGGCATTTCTTTTTAAAAAAAAATCAGATCTGAATTTTAACAGGCAAAACAAATTATTTGAGATACATGTGCGCTTATATGGTGATCTGCCAGCCATGCAACTCCAGGCTAGTGCTCCCAGCCTTTAACAAAAGGCATCTCTGCCAGAACTTTTTCCTTTCCCTCATGCCACTCCTTACACCCCGCAGTTCTGCTATTTTCCCCTCTCCTCCTCAGCGCCTAATGAGCAGAGGGGCCCTGAAAACAGAGGTGTCAAAGAGCCTGATGCTGCCTATTGTCCTCTCTATGTGCTGTGACCACTGTCCCTGCCTCCCGATGCACTTTACCTGTTGGGAACCAATGCAACAAAAATTCATCTGCCAAACAAATGGGGGGACAGCTGCACTACAGGGTTGACTCTTGGCATTAGCACTGAAGGTTTCAAAGGCCAGATTCTACCATGAGTTTGGTGCTAAGCATGTCCTCGGTGGGCTCCTACCACCACGTGTCCATATGGCAGTGTCTTCATTGGCATTACACAGCTGGGTTACAGCGAGTAGAAAGCAACTTCCCTTTGTTGTCTATGCACGAAAAAAGAGAACTGAACTGCAGCAGTGCATCACTACAAGGAAACTTCAGAGTAAGATGAAACAGAGAGGGATAGGATTGGGGTTAGAAAGTGATGCAAGGAAAGGCAGGCAGCTACCACGCCCTGAATAAGTGCTATAATGTCATTGAACACCGGGGGGCAACCAAGCACCCAGCCTTCGGGGAGGAAAGTACTTCATCCTCAGAAAGACAGCAGCCCCATTCCCTCTCCTTGGAGCAGACATAGCCTTTGATAATTATCCTTTCAAAAAGCAATCAATTTTTTAGAAAAGGTCACAGATATCTCTCCCTGAAAATAACAGGCAGGATCTGCTTATCTGAGTCTACTGTGCAATCCAGAGTGGAAAGCACTGAATTTTGTTTTCCCAATACTGCAAGCTCTTACCTGGAGCCACGCAAAGCAATACTCTGGTTTGATGCCTCTGCACGATGTGAAGTCATTATCTTTAATACACAGGTAAAATATTAATACATGAGGAGGTAAAAAGTTCATTTCCAAGAAGAAACTTTAGGAAATACAACTGATTAACACACCTTGCATACCTAAAGGAGCAATGTATGAAACTGAATACACCACAGAAGGCAACAGAATTACAAATCACTTTTCACGGTTTAGTCTTGGACAAGTGGCCCCAAACATTTGCTGCTTAAATAAACAAAGAAGGAGCAGCTAGGGAATAAGAAATGAATGCTGGAAACTTAGAGGGAAAAGTTTTGTTTTATAGATCATTTTTTATAGCTTTATCATGCCAAAAATCATTTGAAGACATTTTACAGCAGATACTTCCACCCTTTTCCTCCATGAAGCAATCTCTCTACAGTTCAGAAATACCAAATGTCATCATTGCCACATCTCCTACTTACACTATTCTCCCTATTTTTTGACATGCTGCAGGGACTGGTACCGATTCATAGGCACCGATGCTAAAGCTGTGAGTTCTGCCAAGGCAAAGACATTTGTGATTAGTCCTGACTCGTGTACTTTATCTGGAAGAATAGTGTCTCCCACAAACCATCCGAGTTGCTTGTTTTCAAGGAAGTCAAAGAAATTTAATGAGATCACTGTGAAAGGCAGAATGAACATTGGAAAAAAACCCAACTGTGATGTTACTAACACTGCAAGTCCTCTAAACAAGAGAACAAAAATTTCCTTGAATGGTTTGCTTGCATGAGATGCCTGCTTGTTAAATGGGAATAAGTGGCAGGCATTCATAAGAGAAAGAAAAAGTGTCATGAAGATAAGGTGGCAGATTTGTTTCCTGCCTCATTTCATTCAGCCATGACTAGTTCTGTTAAAGTGGGAGGGAGGAGGGGTTGGTTACCTCAAGACATCTCGTCTTCATCTAAAAGTATCATTTGCATGAACACGATATAGAGAAGATCTTTATTTATTTGATTTTATATATATGGAAATAAAACCAGAAGAGAAAGTTCAGACCCAGGGTACTTCTAACTTTGAAACTCACATCATTGCACTAAAAGCTGATATTAAGTACAATAACTGATCATATTGATAACTCAAATCCTGAACTAATGTAAAAGGACAGAAAAGGTGGAACTTCTTAAATTAGTAGCACCACAGTACAGTTCTTCAATGCCTTTAATATTTTTAACATTTTAGTATTTCTATTGCTGAAAGATGTACTTATTTTATCCCTTCTCATGGATTAGTAACATTTTACGTTTTTTTCAGTAACACCTGAAATACATTTTCGACTTCAGAATGAGCACCATCATAATTTTTCTGTTTTAAACACCTTTTTTCAAATTGTACATAGTTTTTTGTCTGCTTGCTATTTTTGATGAAGACCCATTAAGAAAGATACTATTTTGAAGTCTTAGAAACAAGTTTAGGAAGTTTTTATGAAGAGATTTCCAAAGAAAAACTGACTCTATTCTGTTCTGTGTTCTGTAGCATGCAGTGACTTTTAACAGGAAAGATCACAAGAAAGATGATAAAATGAGTTCTTGAAACAGTTTTCTCTGAATAAATTTGTAAATAAAAGCATTGATATTTGTGATGGTCACATCTCTCTCCTGTCTGCAGGTTCACAATTCTTGTTATGTTGCTACAGATCTACAGTCACGCCACAAGCCTGAATCAATGCCAGCTTTCTCTTTGTGTAACAGAGGAGAGAGAGCACTGGCCATTCAAATTTTAATGTTCTGATGGCGTTAAACCTTCAAAGAAAATATTGACAAAGACATAGGTAAACATTGCAAAGTCCTTTCCCAGCCTCACACTGGAATCGGAGCTTTATGTCCTCAGCTCCTGGAGCACGGGTTTACGTGGTACTTCAAGTCCTGCAGTCCTATAAAACCAGATCACCTCCTCCTTTCTCTGTTTTTATGGCTCCACAGAAGCCTCGCTCTTCCCTTAAAAGTTCCTCCTCCCAGGAGATATTGAGTTAATGGAAGTTAGTGATGTTAACAATGGCATAAAGCAAATTGAGAAGACAACCATCCTTCATTTTCTGGCCTTCTCCTGTTTGTCCCAGTTGAGACCCTTGTAGTCCAGCCATCTCAGTACCTACAAAGTGTTTCAAGCACAGTCCAGGGGCTCAGTCTTCCAAGCTTTTCTCTTCCATGAGTGTGACATAAGGGGGATTCATGAAGAGCCACAAATTGAAAGAAACCATAAAATGTGGCTTTTTCATACGGCAGGATGAAGGAACTGTGAAGAAAGGTAAGGTTTGCCATGCACTGAGCCCCGTTCTGGGTCTACAATGGAGACACAATCATCAACAAGAAAAGGTAGCTGAGGCTGCCATGGACTTGTTATAATTAATAAAAGTTTGCCTAAGGGAAAATTGTTTTTCCTGAGAATAAATGACTTACTCTGCTCTTGAAAACATACAAAAAGGATGAAGTTGGTGCATCTCCGCAAAGGCACCTTATGTGCAAATCTAACCATTTATTTGTGGTGGTGTCAGCTGGCATCATGCAGAGCTTCTAAGAGCTGATCAGCTCAACAGTGCATTTGACTGGACAGTGTTGATTACACATGTGCAACATTTTAAAACAAACAAACAAACACCATACCTGGCAACAGTCTCTTTGTGTCACTGTTCATTACCAATATTGCATTAGCAGATGGCTTCATGTGGCTTAGCATATAACATAGCAAATGGATATGACAGTTTTCAGGACAGACGAAGCACAACATAAATACAGCATATCACTTTCACAAACACAGGATTTTCAAAACTCTGGCAATATTATAAAAATAAGCTTCATATGCAATTAAATACAAATAACTGGACTTACAGTATTGTACAGTATTTACTGTAGAATAATTCTTGATAGTGCTTTGCAGAGCTGAATTTATTTACAATAGTCTATAAAGAGCAAATACCATTTCACTCAAAGCTAGATGCGTGAAGGAAAATAGAGAAAAGAGAGATGCTTCTTTAAGCTAAATACTGTCATATCCAATGTCAAAATTTAAGTGGCTTACAACCATTCATAAAATTCTTGTTTTGGCGAAGTTTGTTTTTTCAGTTACAGTATCAAAGAGGCCAGCTTTTTAAGAAGGAAGAAATGGCAGCTGTTTCCCATAGATGGATTGTTTAGGTGCCTACACATGGATTTGCAGAGCAGTTTTAGGCAGACTTTCATGACAAGCTCAGTCAGTACTTTCATTTCATTCATGCAGAAGCAGCAGGATCCAGTATAAAATAATTACTTTACAGTTATGTTTTTAAACAATAGGCTTCAATCTTTTTTATATTCCAATCATCTTTCACACCCAAATCTGCTTTTGAGTGTAGCTGGGAATTAACTGATCCAATTTAACAGTACTACTAGTCAAAACACAATTGCACCCCGCATGGCCTCTGACACCTGTTCGATCCTCCTGCAGCTTTTGACTACCAGAGGGAATAGCCCCCACTTTAAGATACTTGAAAAACAAGGCAAAGAACAACCTTCTTCCTAACTCTGTCTGCTTTTATTTCTTCTTGAATTTATCACATACTTTGTCTATTAACTTCCACAAATTGGTAATGAGGAGTTTT